CACCAGGTGTTTGTGGGCCCGCCTGAACACCCCCCCCGCCAGCCCCGCGGGCAGCCGGAGGAGGAGGGACGCAGCTCGGGAGGCAGGGAGAGGGACAGGAGGAGACTGGGGCACTCACGTTCTCTCTTGGTCTCCCGATGCTGCCAGGCGTAGAAGTTGAGCAGCTCCTTGCGGGCCCTTTTCCGCCTCTCCCTCTCCAGGAGCCGCAGGCTGGCAGCCTCGGTGCGGGGCAGGCCGGGCCTCCTGCCCCGCCGCGTCACCTTCACCCAGCCCTCCTCGTCAGGGACACCCTCCTCCTCTGCCGCACGGGCCTCCTCCTGGGGACACACGAGGGGAGGCAGCTCAGCGCCCACGGCTCCTCAGACCTGCCAAGCTACAGCTCCTGCTTCTGCACTGGCTCTGAAGGGAGGCGTGGGAGCGAGGGCGCAGGCGTTCACCCCTCAGTCACAACGCTGCATGCCAGCCAGGACCCCACTTATTTGTGGGTACCTATTGTAAGCCCTGGGTGGAAGGGTCCAGGTGTCGTGGACCAAACCAGGACCTGACTGCCCACCCGCTGGAGCAAACCAACCCTGACAACCAGTGTGTTTCCCTCTGGCCTTTCCTCCCTCCCCTCTCAGAGGCTGGGGCACTGAGAGATCCCTTTTCTCTCCCCCAACAAACTGCTCAGCTGGGTTTCCTCCCCAGCCTGGCCTCACCTCTGCTATCTTTTTATCATAGTCCTGCATGTAGGCGTCCACCTCAGCCTTCAGTTCCTCTGGATCCACGATGGAGGCCGCGTAGCTGGCGATCCACTCTGAGACAGAGAGGGCACAGGTCAGCAGCAGCCTCTGTTAGCAGCAATCCTGGTGTGACGCCTTTGGGCAGCTCCAGAGAGCTGCTGTGGGGAAGGACACACTCTGTTCCCCTTCCTGCTCAGCCTCCCTGCTGCCACCTTGCAGCCCAGGCCACAGCCAGTAAGCACTGGGAAGAGCTTACAACTTTCCCCAGCAGGACTGGGCCAAGAGGTGCAATGTTCAGGACTGCTGCGTTCATATCAAAGGGTCACATCTGAAGTGACCATCACACCAGGCACTGCTGCCTGATACTGAGTCTGGATTCCATTTTAAGGTAAGACAGAGCCAGTTTCTCTGGATCTGTGGAATACTGGAAAGATATTGGGAAAAACTGCCCTTCCATTGTCACAAGTGACCCCGTCCTCACACAGGGTCACTGGACCAGACTACAGCGTCCAGCACAACAAGATTGCTACTCTGTCAATAACAAAAGCAGGACAACGAAGCACTGGACGTCTCCTGGCCCAGCACAAAATGGGTAAGAATTAATCTGGGACATACAGGAGAGTATTTAGCATGGAATAAGTACAGTTATTCCCTGGAATTAGCTGGCAGGAGACAGCTAGGGGCTGTCTCCTAACGCCATCAGACATTAGACTTACTCCTGATGCCGGTTTTCACAGGGTGACACTCAGTTGAGATCAGCAAGGGACCTTTCTGTGACAGAGCCTTGGCTGCCTGGACACCAGATGGCTTCTTGAACACCACATATGCGACCTGAAATCCCTAAAAGAAAAAGGTGCCTAAGCCAGTCAGCTATATCAGGGAAAACGGTGACACAGCAAAGGAGCTGCAGGAAAAAAGAAGAAATCAAAGCACAAGTTTCTGTAGGATAGTAAAAAAAGATAAACTGAAATATGTTTAATCACATAGCTAATACACCCAAATGGCCTCCTGTGTTTCATGTTCCCAACAGTACTATTTGGCTATTTTTGTGACTTTTAGCCCGTTCTGACCACTCAAGCACCCGCATTCCCCAGCCCACCGGGTTTCACCTTTGCGGTTTTGCAGTTGAAGAATTTGGACGTCAGTTTTTCTTTCTTCTGTGCGGGCTCCGGCTTGTCGCAGATGTCCACGGACTGGACGTGCCCGCAGCGAGAGAACAGCCTCGACAGGGAGTCCTGGGCGCGGAGAACGGGAGAGCGCTCGGGGTACCGAGGGGCCGGCGCGGCCCT